GGTGAATATGAAAAAAAAAACCGTTCTAGGCTGCTGCCGAAATATGTGCAAAAGTGCACTTATTTGTATGACAGTTTTTGCTCCACTGCACTCTTTGTGCGTTAACTTACTTTCATAACTTTCACTAATATCTACTTCGTTTTTGGTTATATCCATATCCTCACGAGAAAACACCTTCAAAAGCCACTCTAACAATTTTTTCTTAAAACTAGTAAAACTTACACAAGATTTCATGTCGCGTGGAACAATATTAAAAAGTCTTGGCGTGAAATACAGGAAACTTCTCTGTCCACAAGTTTTTTGACACCTTGGAACTGCAACTCTATCAACTGATCTTAAAATATAATATGTGGCATTCGAAATTAGACTTTCATGTAGTTTTTAAAGGATCTTAGAATCATTTTGTAGCAGAAAAGCTGTCTTATATCCATCACACCACTTAATCGGTATAAAGAATCAGTTGGAAAGAGTCTTATTTTGCCAAAGATTAGCTTCACATCAAAATAGCTATTTTCCTAACGAACTCGGGCGCTTCGCACCCTCGTGCCGGAAATTTCTTCCCGCAAGAGTTAGGAACTATATTTTTTTCTACGAGCATACTAAAGCTGATGTTACGAAGAGTTTAATTTAAATAAAATGCGATTGTGCAGAAGGTAGAATTAAAAATGTATTAAAAGCTATTTATAAAAAGGTAAAGGTACAGGTATAAGTGTATCAATAACACAAACAATTCCATGTCACAATGATTATTTCAAACTCTTCCCGCACCGGTGTGGGAAGAATGTCTTCCCGCACAGAAAATCGTGCGGGAAGAGCCATTTCCCGCACGCTCGTATCAAAAATGCTTTATTGTTCAAAAAGGCCTTAAGACCCTTATTTACAAAGCTAAAATGGAAATAATACAAAAAAATACAAAAAAAGTATGAGGAAACATTGAAAGCTAATGTTACATGTTGATATACTAAAAACTAATAAAGACTATAAAGATAAAAACATTAAAAACAACCAAAAACCGCTACCTAAAATGTCATTCACAAATCCAATCAAGCCTTTATATATGGCGCATACTAATAAAAAAAATTTAAAAAGCGAACAAACAAAAAGACAGATTAAATATTTTTCAAGTTATAGTATAGACGTCATATATCATACAATCACTAAAGCTAGAGCCTATTGCGACAAAATTCTTCCAGAGAATAATTCGCTTTTAAAGGCGTTTTCTCGAAAAGGACTATTATCTAGATACTTGATCTCAAGAGGCAGGTGGTTATACATGTATTTCCCCTCATATATTATTGAGCTTTTTGTTAATGCACTCCTTGGGATGCACAGACTTAAATTGTTGCTGTTAAACCTAGTTGTCCTGGTGTCATTATGGTTGTCTGATCCTCTATATTTTTTGTGAACCATGCCCACCGTCAGTAAAATAAAAATACAGGTCAATGTAAAAATTCCCTTCCGGATAAACAGGGACCGGCAGTGTTCCCTGGAGCCGACTCCACACAATAGTCGAACAGCCCGTTTTTGTAAAACAAAAACTGAATTAACTATATAGTTGAACACTGGTAAAACCCCAAAATTCAATACTATATCTGAGACGTGACTCACCAAGTGCAAAGTACACACCTCTTGCAATGTCATGACCCAACTTATTACGAAACGTCCTTAACAGGGCCTGCACTACCATAAGGCGAACTGAGCGAGCGCTCCAGGTGCCAGACCTCGCGGGGCGCCTTCGACTCGTTCCTCGGTAATAAAAAAAAGGGAAAAGCATATTTTCGCTTTGAATTCTGTCTCTGTTTTTCGATATTTTGTTTCTTGGCTTTCGAGCAAGCTTGTGCTTACTTAGTATGAGAATAACCTGTCCTGAGGTTTTTTTGAGACGCGCACGGATCGTGGGTGAGGTGGCGCCCTTACCCGATCATTTGATCACGATATTTCGAATAGTGATAACAGTCACCCGAGAGCAGTCCTTCAGGCGTTAGCATTTAATAATTGGCAATATATGTTTCCTTATATCTGGACAGCTCTCCGTATTTTTGTTACCATTCCTGTTACAGTGCCGAAACGTGAACGGAGCTTTAGTAAGCTTGAGTTAATTAAAACTTACCTTAGCGGTCAACTCTAGCAGAAGAGAAACCTTCAGATCTAGCCCTGCTGTCCATTGAAAATGTTATAGCTCAGATATTGTCATATGAGGAGATCATAAATAAATTTGCTAATGCAAAAGTATGTAAACACACGAAAATTTCGTATTTTGTTTGTTCGATTTTTATATTTATTAGGCCCGGTTTATTTATATTCAGATAAACAACCAATGGAATTAGAGATTGCATTTTTATCGGTCAGATTGCATACCTGACAGTTTATCAGAAGGTGAATAAACCAGCCCTAATGGCCGTTTCCACAAACTATTACGATAAGTATTCCCTAAACTGATTTTTCTCCATGGAAAACTGTCAGTCTAGGGAATACTTATCGTTAAGGCTTCTCGAAAATAACTAGTTGGTGGAAATAGCCATAAGTGTTATAAGTGATAATACCAAAGTGGATTATTGATTAATCCCATCAAAGAATGTGAACTAAATGTTAGTAAATAAGAGAACTTTGTACCAACGAACAGAAATGTTTGGAATTTTCAATTGATAAGATAAATAGAGACATTGAGCTTTTGTTTGTTCCAACCCAGCAGGAAACCGTAATATTATCGTCAGGATTCTGCGCAAAACCTAAAATTTTTGCATAGAAACCGAAATTCGTATACAGAGTGGTTCCGAAACCGTTCTGGGACGTTTTTTTGACGGGTTGGAGCAAACCTATTAAATTAGATAATGGTCAAAATCCATACTCGCGTATGCGAATCACATTTAAACTAGGGGCGCCAAAGTCAGATCTCGCTCCATACTAAAAGTAGCCTCGGGCCGGCACTGGTCCTTAACACATAACATACCGGAGCTAGTTTTTTCAAAAACCACTTTTGCATAATTTCTAGGCTTTTAAGGTGTGTATTTAATACACCACCCTAGTCAATAATCCCATAAGTAAAGTGGCTCTGAACTAACGCAAAATATAAAGTTTTCAATTGGCTTATGGACAGAAAATCCCTCATATACCTGAACCTTGGAAAGATCCCCCTAACCTTTTGAACGATGTATTATCCATTCACAATCCGAAGTCCACAGGTACAGGTAAAATTTATCACCTTTCAATGTTATTTGATAGGGAAAGGTGATAAATTTACCTGTACCTGTGGACATCGGATTGTGAATAGGATATATTTATTTAAAAGTTATTGTGCATGAAACTATTTGCCAAAAAGCAAAATTACGCAAAAAATATTTAGATAGTTTAATCCATTTAAATTTATAGGTCGAGTGGTATACGGCTAGATTATTTCCTGAATAATTAGGATTGAATTGTTGGCATCAATCCTATCCAAAGAGTTCTATTTATTATAAAATGTCAGAATATTTCTATCAAAATTCTGTCAAAAAAGGTAAACAAAAACTTAATCGCTGATAAGCAAGGTCTTGTGAAATAATCACTTATTTAAACAAAATTCATTCAAAAAATGACGTTGTCTGATGGGTCTATTTTATAATGAATGAAATAATCATATATTATATCACAACACCTTCAAATTTAATCGATTAAACTATGCAACATATTTTGAGCATGATTTTGCTTGGAAAATAGTTGAATGCACAATAACTTAATAAAAGCTCGAGACCGCGAAGCCGTCGAGGGCTTTTATTTAAAAGTTATTTTGCATGAAACTATTTGCCAAAAAGCAAAGTTGTGCGAAAAATATTTGGATAGTTTAATCCATTTAAATTAATAGGTCGAGTGGTATACGGCTAGATTATTTCCTGAATAATTAGGATTGAATTGTTGGTGTCAATCCTATCCAAAGAGTTCTATTTATTATAAAATGTCAGAATATTTCTATCAAAATTCTGTCAAAAAAAGGTAAACAAAAATTTAAACGCTGATAAACAGGTCTTGTGAAATAATCACTTATTTAAACAAAATTTATTCAAAAAATGACGTTGTCTGATTGGTCTATAATTTTATAATGAATGAAATAATCAATAGTAATATAACTAGTGCAATGGAAATTATTGATAATTTTTGAGAAATTTGCTCGAATGCATTTTTAGTTGAAAAAGAGCACGAGTGCACGTAGTGCACTCGTGCCTTTTTCAGTTAAAAACGCATGAGTGCAAATTTGTCGAAAATTATAAATATATTTCCATTGTACGAGTTGTATTTAATGAGAGAATTTCATAAATCAAAAATTTAAATTTTTTGTCAAAAAATGTCAAAACACCAGTTTTCGCACCAGTTAGTATGCAATTATCTGATAATTTGCACTAGTGCAAATTATCGCGTAATTACAATCTGATTGGTTCAAATCAACAATCAAAACATGTCAATTTATTGTTGGAATATCAGTTTTGACAGATGTATGAAATTCTCAACAATATCCGACTCACTTCCGCTCTTGAATAGCGGAGAAATAACACCAATTTTGAAAGGTTTTGGGAAGTAGTTTTTTTTTCATACTCTTATTTATTAAAAAAACTTAGGGGGAGCGAAATTGAGTCAGCCATTGCTTTTAGCACCTCGGAACGAATGCCGTCGAAACCAGGCGATTTTCTCGGTTTTAGACTTTTGATTATCTTTTTTATTTCCTGCTCTGATGTTAAGCCCACATACATGTTATTCTCAAGTTCGGGCTTCGAGTCAACAAAATTTATTGGGTTTGTAATTTTACTAGCTAATGTTTCACCTAAAAAGCAGTAAATGTTGATTAAATTTGTTTGTAATTTCTTTTTTATCTATTATTTCAATATTGTTATATTTAAATTTATTTATTTCTTGGTGTTTTTGACTTTTATTACAAACTACTGACTGGATCCCATAGTTCTTCACTATTTTGTCGATTGCCGATTGCTCATCAAATTTTCAAAATACCATTTTTTGAATCAGAAATGGACTTAGCAACCTATTTTAGATTTTTTGTAATCTTGTTCCAATGTTAGGTTATTTGGCGAATCTTTGAGTTTTTGGTATAGTTCATTTTTGTAATTGATTGTTTTAACAAGATCCACCCTTTTCTAGATATTAGGAATTTGTTAATTTGTAATTTTCTTGTATTCATGCAATGGAACCTGATGTGTATTCAAAGAAACGACCGAACTTGGTTCATCGTTTATTGGTAGGTAAGCAGTAAATTAAAATATGCTGTAGTTTGTTCAAGATATATTGAGGAAAACCTCCTATTTAAGGCCGCATTGATGGCCGCCATGTTTAAACTGTGATTGGTTGATTTTTCGAAACTTGTTTTAAGGTCTTTAAAAAAAGGCACATCAGAATTGGCTCAAATTTGGCATAAACATTATTTGATCGATTATCTACAATTCCTTATTTTGGTTTTTCGATATTCAGCCTTTTTCTTTAAATTCAAAACTCATGTTTGCAGCCACCAAAACAATTAAATATGTTGGTGGTTGCATATTTGCATGTTTATCAAGCTTGGATCTGTGAAAAGCATATTTTATTGATAACCACGAAAAACTAAAAAAAGCTAATTGTAGAGATTGTAGATAATATATCAAATAATGTTTATGCCAAAGGATTTTGGAAATTATTGCGGATTTTTTGAGATGACCTTAAAAGGAATTTTGAAGGTGAAAACAGTTCAAGCAATTTCAAGTAGATGGCGCCACAGCAAAAAAGCTACATTGGGAGCATCATAATTGAATATTTGTCTTTCTCTGTCACTAAGTGTTTCACCGACAAACAGATTTTGTTTTGGACAAATAATAAAATATTGAACCCTATGTATAGAGTGACGCAGTCGTCATTTTCAAAAACAAAATTTAAACATGGCGGCCATTAACGTGGCCTTGAAATATTATTTCTTCAAATCTTAATTTTAAAAGGTTTACTGAATAAAAATAAATGTTGCAAACCGAACGGGAGCTAGAGAAGAGGCGATTAGGAACTAGAGAGACTAGAACAAGCTGGAGCTGGTCCGTTAGACGCGTATCGCGTGTCAATAATTATTCATTATTCAATTTTTATTTTTATTTTGAAATAAACCGTGACGAGAGAATATCCTAACAAATTGAAATAATCAATCTAGAGATATTGGCTCAAAAACAACTATAGCTGAGTAGCTTCCCGTATGGGACCTCAGTACCTGCTGGGAAACTGGCTAACTAACCAAAAACTCTTCAGTATTGAATATAGGTAGTGTTGATTGAATTTAGTGTGTGTAATTGAAATTTTAACACAAGAACAGGGGCGGTACCTAATTTAAACTTTCATTGACTTAAATTATTGAATTAATGACTCACAATTATTATTAAAATGACACAGTATGTTTCGAATTTTGAGGAATGTTAGATCGAGGGTTTCTCTGCCGTGCTCTTTCCCCTCGTTAGTTCCAGGATGAGAACGGTACGATTTAGTTCAATAATAAAGTAGACGTTTCACAAATTTTTCGTTTCTTCTACATATCACAACTTCCCTTAAATTTCCCAAATATTTGCTATGTCGGGCGCATGTCCAGTAAGTGAAATTGAGTAAGTTTCCACATCGTAGGTCCTATTTGTTTTTCATTTAGTTTTTCATAAGATTTGCTGTTTAAAGGTAATAAAAATGTTCAATCTTACTGAACGAACCCGGGAATATTATACTACAATATGTATATTAGTACTTAAAGTCTGTTTTTTTTTTTAAAGATAATTCCCCAAGTCAAAAATTTAGTAACTATGTTGGCAACACAAGCCTTTTCTACATAAAAAATTTGAAAGCATTGACAATGGACCTTTCTCATTTTACCTGTGCTGCGCGCGCATCTTGTGGGTGACAGATAATTAAATCGTCAATTTACTGAACACGGTCTGACCCTGACGTATTTAAGCTAACCTCAATAATCAATCAGTATCAATCAATATTGCTGAAAATTAATACAAAAACTGTTTATGATACAATGTTTCAAATGAGTTGAATGAGTTCTTGTCAGAATTAGGCGAAAAAGGAGTGAAACCTTTCTTTTCACAAGTTCCCAGGCAATCAAATTGTAAGAAAACAATAGTTACGTGCTCTCAACAGTCTCAACCCGAATGAAGACGATTTAAGTTGGGACAGAGATTTGAGGGTTCGTAAAATAACGATTTTTATATCAAATACAATAATAATGCACAATTAAAGGTTTGCTGCAAACATTTTTGCTGCGGTGGGGTTTCTTTCTAATTAATGTTAATACGTATTTTGTCATATTTACGTTTAAAAATAAACAAAAACAGAAACATAACCGAAATTGCACAATTTGACAAGTGGAACCAATCAAAGTCATTCCACACAGGTATCGCGCGTCATTATATGTGTCTTTTTCTTTATTGCAGAAATCTTAAAAACTATCCTTGTTGTTCATTGCATGAGAAAGGTCCATTTTACATTGTATTGCCAACAGAATGTCATTTTGACTTTTATCTTTAAAAAAAAAACAGATTTTAACTCTTTTTGCACTATGTTCGACATCGGAAACTTCCTGCCAGTCATAGTTTTCAAAAAAATAAGGCGAAAAGAGCTAAAAGGAGTCAGCAAGCCAAATGCAGTTGAACATTAAAAATTATTTAAAAATAATAAAAATATATGAAAAAAATCAATTCGCCTTTTTGTCAAGAATGCTCGATTAGTTGGGTTTTCAGTCAACGATGGCGCTGTAATTCATAACCGGTACATAACATTGCAGATACTACTGTCAACGGCTGTCAATCATTCTTTTCATGCTCTTTTGGCGTCTGACAGTTTGACGCCAGAGAGAGAGGCTTCTAAATTAGGCAATCTCAATCACGTGATTTTATAATGGCCGTTCAGGTCAAATATTGCGGTGACAAGTCGGTGACGTTCATAAGGAGAGCATTGGTGTTCTGGCCCTTGTCGTATTTTTCATTGGTTTTGGTCATATTGTTGTTTTCATAGTGAATTTTATAGTTTTTAGAATTTCTACGTATTTTTTAGTGTTCTGGCCCTTGCTTTCAAAGTGAATTTTATAGTGTTTATAGTGTTTCTACGTATTTTTTAATTTAATAATAAATTTTGAGATGGAGAATGAATCATGGGCGTCGTTTGGGGGGGCAAGAGGGGGAATTTGCCCCCCCCCCCGCCTAGAAATAGTCTTTTGAACAAGAAAACAGTAAAAGAGAGTTCGTACCGATGGTTGAGTTTCAACCTTCGGTTGAATCCTATCAATTTGCATGGAGTAAACCGAATGTTGAAACTCAACCATCGGCTCAGTGCAGGGTTTTAAGAGTAGATAATGCCTGAAGTAGAAAGGCCTGAAATCGAGTAAGCGAGGATGAATGTTTCCGAAAACGCCTAAGTCGCCTAAATGTAATGAACAATGTTTGACGTTTGCACAGAGGAAGTTTTTTTGTTTTGAAAGAGTACGAATGGCCCAAGGCGGCCGGCGCGGGAATCAGCGCCATTTTGTTTACTTGCCAGATATGTTATTTACTGCAAGGTTGTTTGATAGAGGCGGGAGAGGTAGGTTGCCAGGTAACTTCATGACGTCATCTAGGGTGCCTCAACATAATGCAAATCTCTATAGGGTACCCCAGATCAGATGCGTCATCAAGTTAGCCATTACCAGACATACCTGAACCTTGATGAAAAGTTTGCCTTCGGCAATCCGCGCTATGAGCCCCATTTTGTTTACCTATAAAAAAATTAAGGGCGGGGCAAGTAGTGTATGCCCTATGTCAAATTTGTCATACCCTATCATAAATTTGACTCTAGTTACGGCCCTGGTTCAGTGTTTTATAATACCGGCCATTAGACAATTACCTAAACAAATGATGCGGACAGTGAATTTGTTGCGGAAAAAAATACCATCATTTTTAACTATCGATATCGAATTAGTACGTTAAAATGCTCAAAAAAGGGGCGTGGCACCGAAAAAAATTTCGCCCGAAAAAAATTTCGCCCGAAAAGAATTTCGCCCGAAAAAAATTTCGCCCGAAAAGAATTTCGCCCGAAAAAAATTTCGCCCGAAAAGAATTTCGCCCGAAAAAAATTTCGCCCGAAAAAAATTTCGCCTTCGGCGATTGCCAGCGGCGCTATTGGAACTGATCTCATTATAGTGCTGCCCCCCCCCCTGAGAAACCTCGTAACGACCCCATGGAATGAATATCTTAAGGTATTATTATTAAGGGAATTCTTTTAATTGCAGCAATCCATAGAGCCCTGCGTTGTTTTGATAATTCATTTTTGTAGATCAAGAGCCGATGATTTAAAATAGCAGGAACTGAATAAAATTTCTCATTATCCCTGTTACCTCGACTTCCACACCCAATTACGATGCAAAACGCTGACATTTTAATTAACACAATACCTAAACACACAAAAAAACACAAAATCCGATAATTCAAATCTGGACGTTTGTCCAGAATTTGACAGAATTAATGACATACAGAATAAAAAACACAGTGCTTGACCCAATGCTTGACCCGAACTTCCATATTGAATTTCGTTTTTGACAGGTCAGTAGATTCCGTAATTGAAAAGGTCAATTGGAAATGACGTCACCCTTGGAGATACAATCATGGTACGCGAACTTGTATTTAACGATCCTGGCCGCTTTTAATGTGCCCCTAGCCGCTCAGAGGGCGCGCATGTTCATCGCTCGTAATCAATTTTAGTGAACGCCTTTGGATGTTGACGCTATCAGCTGTCATACTGGTCGGTCGGTTGTCAAACAATTTTTAATTTGTCAAACTTTTTATACATTTTTTTCATTAGTTGTAGTGTTTTTACTTCTACCCAGTTTCAGTTCAGGTGAGTTTTATCTTTATCATGGCGTCAATCCCATTGGTGATGAAATTGATGTGAAGACAAACAGAAAAAGTTCAATTATCTATACCGGGTGTTTTTCAAAACCCGCTCACCCCTATAACTTTTTTATTTTTCCAAATAAACAAATGAAATTTGGTGTGTTTATTTATGACCCGGATGTGCATTATTTGACGTATTCAGTTATTTATTATCACTTCCGGTTTGAGCGGAAGTGACCGTAACTTTCTTATTTCAAATAAGACGTTAGGTA